TTTTCAAAAATGCTATCTGTTTCACATCGGTCGCTCTGTATCGCCGTCGAGCGGTAGAGAGAGTTGCAAACTTTGGAAGTAATTGGCTACATTTTCTTTTTGAAATATTGTTTCGAGCGATAACTTTTTCAACCCCCTAAACCTAAACGAAATAAGACAATTTTGTCTCATTAGATACAGTATACCTTAATTCAGGTCTGTACTGTATTATGTTCCTTTTTAATAACTCAGTTTAATTTAATTTAAATAAATATAAACGCTCGAGGAAGTTTTTAAGTCAAAATTATAGATATTTAGATGCTAATAACTTATATGGTACGCAATATTTCCATAAAGTATAAACGTACGAACCTTGTTTTTCATTATATTCACAATATTTCCAAAAATTACGAAAATTAGACTTACGGGAGGGAAAACGTTATCACTTTTTGTATGAAAATTTACAGCTTCACAATCCTCATAATACAGCTGCAGCGTGATTATATTTTATAATGTAAACCCGGTTATGCGACATTTCAAGTCGCCAGTAAAATTTAAGCTTTTTTTAAAAACCGTTAAAAATAACAGTTCAATTTCATATAAACCAAAACATAACCACCATTATATCTGTGAATTGTGCAAATCGATAAGTACGTAGGTACAACGGTGACCAAAAGCACACTATATACATTTACAGTGCCAAAAGGTTGGAGCATAAAAAAGAAAACGGCTCATGTACGATCGCGCGCCTTTGTTATTTTACATGAGTCATTATGGCAGTTATGGTGAACACGGCGAACGTGGCTTACGAGGAAAACATACGCGAAACAACCCGATAACGTCATGGCTTGGGTGCCTAAATATAAACCATTAACAATATAATTCGTTTAAATTGTTACTATAGCATAATTTTGCAATTATTTAAAAAAGGTTCACCCATTTTAGTCGATTTTAAGCGACTAATGTATGTACTAATGATTTGGTGTGACTAATTCTCTTGTGTCCTATTTTACTTTCATGTAATACTACCGATCCGCCCCGGCTTTGCACGGGTGATTTCCAGGTTTTCGACAACAGTGCCATCTACCGGGTCCAATTGAGTTTTTATATCATACTCAAATACACACAAAACATTTATCAAAATTGGTCGAGCAGTTTTAGAGTTTTTACGAGAGTAACGGACAGCAATTGACTATTTATATATATATATATATATATATATATATATATATATATATATATATATATATATATATATATATAAGAGAGATGAACCCAGTCCATCTGGTAAGTGGCTATACCTTCAGGCTGAAAGAAAGCAGTGCAAGCAGTGCTTGTTTGGCAGCAGAAATAGGTAAGAGAGTTATACTTAACCAGATCCTAGATGGATACCATGGCAAAAAAAGAAACCTACAACCTGATTACCTAAGAAAAATGTTATAAAAGTGTTACTTATAGTCTACTCAATGTATATTTAAAAGTATTTGAATATGTAACACCCTCCATTTTATACTGTATAAGCATTGCTGCATAATTATTAATTATATTATCCTAACTTATATTGGATTGAATAAAATAAATGAACACATTTACATGTATTTACATTTTAAAAATAAATTTTCGTCCAACAGATAACATATTAAGCAAGCAACATGTAATTTGTTATTGCAGGAAACAGTGCACATTAAAATGGGTATATTCAAAAAACATAAAAGTTTATTTATAACTACCACATTTTTAGTGTATATTCATTAAAAACAAACATAATGCTATGTTTTATATTTATGAATTCTATGACTGCATATAATTAAGTAAAAAAGTAATTGCAGTATTATTAAACATTCAAAATCAAAACTTTTTATTTAATTTAAGCTTGTTTAAAACTTTTCTGAACTTCAAAACCTAAACATTGCTTTGAAGTTAACAAAGAAAGGAACAGGGTATGAGTTGGTGCAGTAAGTGTATTTATATGAATTTACTAATGAAGCTCTACCAACCAGTTTTATGTGCAATAAAGAAATAAGTAATTTGTTGCATTTTGAAGAGACCAATAAGAGCAGTAGACTCTTAAAAGAAGAATTAAACAGAACCTGAGAAAATAGAATGGTCTATTGGTCAAACAGTCAAAATAGAATTTTGATCTTACCATTAATAAAAACATGTAAGAAGTGGTAAAATTAAAATTTTTGTAGAAGGAACTTTAATATAAATAAAATGAGAACATCATCAATGTAGTCGAAGTCAATTAAATAAGCATTATTAAGGATCACTCTAAAATTTTATAGTCAGATCTTGATCAAATTTAAATGGGACTATGTGAGAAGCACTAGCTTACAAATAAAAAAAGAACCATCAAAATCGATTCACCTAGAAAAAAGTTCTGAGGTAACACACATAAAAAAATACAGTCAAATTGAGAACCTTCTCCTTTTTTGAAGTCGGTTGAAAAAGGATTGGGTTGGATTTAGAATTGTTTAGCAGGAATTTGGGGGAGTAAGGTGTTTTATTTGGTAGAGGTTTGGTCCCCGATTATAATAATACCACTTACATTAAAAGGTAATGCACCCTTATCGAAAAAATAAATAAAAACTATTATAACCTAAAATGCATTAAGTATGGAAAATGAACCATTTTGTATTATTAACTGACTTTACGGTTCTGGATTCTAGTCTTCTAATATTTGTATTCAGTGAAATCCATGTTCGGCCCATCCCTACTCTTAATGTGAGTGGTATTATTATAATCGGGGACCAAACCTCTACCAAATAAAACACCTTACTCCCCCAAATTCCTGCCAAACGATTCTAAATTTCAACCAAAGGACCACAGATACACAAGTGTTATGTTAGAAAAAGACTACTAAAATATTTCAACCTACTGCTTTTTTACGATCCGCCACTATTAAGACTTAGACATTCATATCAGGATATAATATTAGAATAATAAGCACACAGAAAGGAGTTTTATATTTATTATTAAAATAATCCAAGAAAAATCATATACAGTGGATCCCCGGTAATCCAACAAACATTTTGCAGGGCAGTGTCGAACTAACGAATTTGTCGGATTATGGGGTACTGCCAAGACCCCCCCCCTATAGTCCTGAATTTTTTACAAAAGCGTACCTTGTAATCCGACAAATTATAAGATTCTATATGTTATATAACTACTACTACATAATAACATAATGATCATATGTTATTATGTATGTTAAATTTAGTAAATTAAACAATGCAATAGAGAGCTTACGTTTTATTATAAAATGGACGTCATTAAAGTTATAGAACTTACAAAAAATATGCAACTTTATATTAGGAAATAATTATGTACAAACAAATGTACATAGCAAAATAATTATAAATTATGAATTAATTAATTTCAGAAGCATCAATTTAAGAGCGTTATCATGAAGCAATGACGCTTTTTGAGGAAAACTATGATCTTTCAACCATTTTCAGAATCAATTTTTTTAATCAGCATCAAAACAACACTCTATGCATCAAGCAAAATAGTGATGGTGCATACAAGTTATAACTTTTTCAATCATGTATTAGCGAAGATTGTCAAAAAAATATTCATAAATAACAGAGCATGTCGGATTACGGGGGGTGCCGGATTATCGGGGGTCCACTGTATATGAAAACTTTTAAAATAAATTCTTTGAAAATATAGTGCCATGGTCGGACATAAAATTCAATAAAACTTGTTCAGTAAATTCTGTCAATAAGAATACCTACAAAATAAATCAATAAAATGAGGAAAACATATTTTATGCTGGTATTTTTTGGGAGCATGGTAGCTTCCCGTTTGAGCTGTTCTCACTACAACCTGAATAAAGCTGCAGCATGGCTTTACCACATAAAATTAAATTGCATTAAAAAATATTTAAGACACCCAAAAAAATATTAAAGACACCCAGAGTTTCTAGTTAGTTCTGCTCTGAGGTCCTGTTATGCAAACTAGTGTACATTTTGACATTCATAAGAGCTTTAAACAAACCTAAATTGAAAAGTTTTGAATTTGAAAACAAGCAGCTTTAGTTAGGTAGTGCAGTGACTTATCATATGGCACTACAAGCTGTGGATTGAAACAAATGTTTACATCATCATCATCATTATAGCTCTTCAAAAGTCCACTGCCTAACGTGGCCTATGTTGTGCAGTGTCCCATAAGCAATGCCACAAAGCACGGGCCTGAGCCACCTGCAACCATCAACTTCGGGGGGGGGGTTCACCCTACACTTCATCTAGCAGTACAAGGCTGCCACTCTAGAACCATTTTTCTCCTTCGGTTGTTGGTTCTTCAGCTATGAGGCTGGCCCATTGCTGCTCCAGCTTACTAATCCTTTGGGATATGATGGTCACTGTGGTTCTTCTATGGATATCTTCATTTCTAAGTTTATCACGCAGAGAAACTCCGAGCATAGCTCCAATATTTATATGGCCTACAATAATTATTCCGGGTTCTGGGTATTTGTCCATATGTAATTTATTTATGTAAACCACCACAATACAGCGAAAATCTTAATATGACATTTTATTAAATTATCAATAAAGAATTACATAACATTAGAAATCAAAAGTTGGTAGAACTTGACAGGTTGTGAAAATTTCTTTGATTCTGAAAAATTTTAGTTCTATTAGGTTCATTTAAAATCATGGATTTGCACCGAAATTTGTAATAGGTACAAAATTACAATTCAATTTTCAAGGAGAGATAAAATTTATGAATAATGAATATTAGAGAAATGCCTGATAAATATTATTTAATTAGTGGTAATAAACTATGGCAATTATAAGCAGACTGCTGAGTCAACATTCTTGTAGTCATCTTAGCTCCCTAAATATTCACTTATTTTTCAACATACCTGTATATTTATTGTCATATCAGCAAATGTTACATATATATACTAATTTTATAACGTAAAAGAAAATGGACTTTTTTGTTACTTTATAAAAATAACTTTCTTAAGAACCTTTAGGGTATAGAATCAAAATGTTAAAATATAATTTCATACTCACATAAATTAGGCCAGAATAATATCTGTCCTTGATGTTATGCAGCACGGAAGCCTCGTTGAGGCAGGTCAACTCCGCCATGTCCTCCACTTTGTCAAATTTCGGTGGATTCATCTTTTGGATATCATCTATAGGCACCAGCATTCGCTTGCCAGACTCCGCTATTTCCACCTCGACTTCATCTCCCCGTTCTCCCTTTATTCCTGCCGCTACGAAACCCTGGGTCTCATGGGGCACCCACACTAATCGTTTCTGAGTCCATTCCGCCTGCGTAGCCGGGTCATTGAAGCTGTTCCGGTCCACCGACAAGTACCGGAGCTCCGGGTCGTTCCTATCCATGTCCACCATCGCGCTCAATCACGCCGCGCGACCCGACTTACGATAACCTAAAACCGGCGCTGAATACCACATTAAACGCACGCCCCTACCGACACTGCACACAACACTTGTTTTTTAAAGACACCCGTAAGTTCGTCTCGTGTCGCTATCGCGATACGACACGTACAAAATGACGATTGCGCCCGACTGACACGACTGAATGACAGAATCGCAACGGTTATTACGGGTAGGAGGGATGAACCGGTCGACGCCCGAATTCACGTTGACTTCACCCGAAAATATTACAAAACTTCCAATGTTTCACTGGACGGAATGTTTAAAAGATCAATTATTCTTTCTTACTGTATATATTCTACATTTAATAAACTAATAAGATAAAAGCTAGAATGACTTTTTAGATTGTAACGAAATTATGTGCACACAAACACTCCAAACCTACTTTTACGTCAAATGACAATGACAAGAAGATCAACTGAACTGATGGAGCATTGTTGCCAGAGCCAAATTTTCTATTGCTATGTTCAGTAAGCAAAATTGTCATGTTCGTTACAAACATCGACCTACGGATGGTTTAGCTTATAAAGGTAAATAAAAGAGATAGAGATTAATTTTATAGGGTTCGCTGTTGCACAAAAGAACTCATTGCAAATTAATTATAATAATTTGGACAAATTTCAAGGCAACACAAAAACTAAACAAAAATCGGTTAGCGTCCTGTTCATCACTGTCCCTTTGGCTTCAATCTTAAATAAAATATTTCTTTCCACATTTTCTCAATATGGCTGATAAAATAAGCACGCGTTCGGCGATCATTTATTCAAAGATGGAGGATGGGTCGAAAATAGTAAGAGTGTAAGCCATGTTCGCAAAGTAGTTTCCACAATCTTTTGCGATACATTGAATCGTTATGCAGTATTCAGAGTACTGACTGGTTTTCATTGGAAGTATTTGAAAATCCATTTCTTTTAAGTGATAAGATATTGATATTGGACACGTCCTTTGGCATGAATTAGCACTAGGCTGCCAATGATTGACCACGTCCTATAACGTAATAAAATCTTACCAAAATGACATAAATGGCAGAAAAATTGTCGGAAATACTAACGTAGGCCGTTGATAAAAAATGTTTCAGTAGTTTTTCACCCAACTATCATAGAACACGGCAATGGTCGTAGTAATGGCAGCACTTAGTAGATGTCGATTTTCAACGCTAGGATCATGAAGGTCAGAGAACAGGAGAACGATCGCCGTAGAAAATAGTGTCCCAGAAATATAGATACTTGTTTGGTCGCCGATTGAATTCAGGTGCAAGAGGTTTTTTCCACCTGGACTACTACAGCTGCTGGTGTATCACAAGGTGGCGTGTTATCTCCTCTCCTTTTTGCAATTTTCATTAACTCTATAATTCATAATTTTTCCTCTTCCTACCACTTGTATGCTGATGATTTCCAAATCTATACTCAGTCCTCTCTTGAAGATCTATCTAAAGCAGTTGAAACTATTAACGCTGGTCTGAATTGTATTTCGAATTGGAGTAAAAGTTATGCTTTAACGATTAATCCTAAGAAAACTCAGGTCATTGTCATCGGTAGTTCTAGATTAATTGGTAAAATTGACTGGTCTTCCCTACCCCCTATTATACTAGACTGCACTCTAATCCCTTACAGTAACAAGGTTAAAAACCTGGGGTTGTATCTTGACTCCTGTATGTCTTGGACCTCACAGGTTAATGAGGTCAGTAGAAAAATGTTTGCTGCGTTAAGCTCTTTACGTAGATTACGTAATTTCCTTCCCACAGCAACTAAAGTTACGCTCCCCCAGTCTCTACTTCTGCCTATCCTTGACTATGCTGATATTTGCTATCTTGATATTACCGAGGAGCAGCTTAATAAGCTTGAACGCATTCAAAATTTATGCATTAGATTTATATTTGGACTTCGCAAATATGATATCTCCGAATTTCGCAAACAGCTCAAATGGCTCCCGATCCACCTTCGCAGGAATACTCACATTCTCTCCGCGTTGTATAGTGTGCTGTTTAATCCTTCTACTCCTCTTTATTTAAAAAACCGTTCCAGTATCTTTCTCTTACCCATAATCGGTTCCTTCGATCCTCCGTCAATCTTTCTCTCTCTACACCTTTGCACTCTTCTTCCTTTTTCAAGAAATCCTTCACCGTAACCGCTGTGCGATTGTGGAACCCTTTAGCTCTCCATATTCGTCGTGCTAAATCTCTTCACTCTTTCAAAATTCTTGTTAAATCGTATTTTTTAGAACGCTATTAGATAAATTACTTTACCTTTCTCTTCCTTTTTCATTTAATCTATTATATGATATTTTACATATAACTTTCACTTACTTTTATTTGTATGTATTATTGTATTTTTTTTATTATTATTTTGTATGCCCCCCCTCTATTTGTAACTTTTGTTTGCATCATTCCTCTACGCAAAGGTTGTCTGGAAGAAATCACTTTCAGTGATAAAACCGCCTATTGTACATACTTTAATTAGTTTTAACTATATTGATGTTTCTGTATTGTGGTGTACAAAAAATGTTCGGTCAATAAAAGTCATTTTCAGTCTATTTTTCCGATCAGATGCTAAACCACTTGCACATCCACGCACAATAAAATATTTCTCCATTTTTTAAAGTTTCTTTTTATCAAAAATTACAAAATTACGGAGCATGAAAATTTTCTCACCAATGCCGCGGAGAAAATTTGTACATATTTAACTAACTTCATCTACTTGTACTAATAAACAGCTAACTTCGCAGTCACTACTCACCGACGTCAGCGCCGCTATGAATTCTACAATTTTCAAGGACAGGCGGGCTATGTTTTAGTACGTAGTGATCGTTCTCCTGTTCTCTAACCTTCATGGCTAAGATATTCTAAACGTGATAACCGTTGATTTTCATCAATTTTGATTGGTCACACTTTCTATAGTTAGTACAAAACGTAGTGAATATATACTCATTATTATAGTACATTCCTAAAAGTATATTCTCTCCTGAGTATTCTCCATTATAATTCATAATTTATGCATTCTATTGAAATAGCGAAAACTATTTTTTTATTGAATATTATCTTTGACTGATTACAGTTTCCCAACAACATGAACAGTTTCTTTTAAAAAAAATTAAAGATAAGATTTTTTCACCCACGTTTAAGATACTGTGGTGTTACAAAAAGTACTACATCCTTGATGCCCATTGGTTTGAAAAATAGTAGAATGAAAGTAGACAGAGAATACTATAGACACAGGCAAAGCGTGTCGCACAAAGAGACAAAAAAATATGTCACTATATTTAGGGTTACAAGTGTGAAGAAAAATTTACCCCACTACTAGTCATAAGATTAGAAATTAGTACGTAAAGAAAGCCTGAAAAGGGACACTGCTTTTGCTGACTATCATCAATAGGTATAGGCCCACAATGCGGAGGAGATTACATGCTGTCAAACCCAAATCAATTACGATAAGGGCAAGAGGGTGAGGATAAATGATGATGATATGGTTCTAAATAACTGTCATTTCTTACGCTCTGGCTTGAGTAAATAATACAACACGTTTACTAATAATAAATTTTTATTGATTATTGACCTTTTTTTAGTGAATGCTCTTGGCAAACCACGCAGTCGGCTGCGTGCTTATGAGGGACTCACTTTGAAATCCTAAGTGCCTACCCACTAAACACCACCTTGGACTAGGAGGCAGTCCAGGTCAGCCGAAAGCTTATTGGTGGGGAGGAGGGGGTACGAGAGAGTTTCTCGGTCCGCGAACTCGATAGCGAGAGGGAGTGGGGTTGCTAGATATAAGAAGCTGCCTCACGAATAAGATGATTTGAGTGAGACTCTGAGGCTTTGAAGATGTTTTTAGAGAGAGATTTTAGAAATTTTTGGATTATGGGGAGATCTAATTCTCGGTGAAGGTCATCGTTACGGATGAACCAGGGTGCGTTCATAGTTCTACGACAAAAAAGGTTTTGAACTACCTGAAGTTCATTTAGAATGTTGGGCATGCATGGTTATATTTGATGCCTGTGTCGTAACAGGTTTTGGAGAGCTTGGTGAATTGTCTACGTTCTTTAGTATATATGCAGTAATCTAAATCTATGATATTATTATTATCTATGGTTCAAATCATGGAGGCTAGAGTTCAGTTTATACAAAGTACTCTGTGCTTAGCTCCGGTGGGACAGAAAGTACCTGTCAATGTCATTCTTTATGGGCATGCCGACCTAATTAGTGCATGCCCATAAAGTATGACATTGACAGGTACTGTCTGTACTACTAAGAAATTCAGGACTTCATAGGTGTGATTTTTACTGACAGCTGTCGCACAGATTAAGCTATCTTTTATGAACCATAGTACTCTTATTAATTTGTGGGTAGGAGTAATAGTCTTGCTACATATTTATTTCAGTGTTGCCAGATCTGGAGGTTTTTCCTCAATCTAGAAATTTTTGGAGGTCGTTGAGGTTTTCTTAGAGGTTTTAATATCACGATATTAATCTAGAGGTTTTTCTGAAAGTTTTTCACTGGTCTAACCAACTTCCCAATTCCAGAACAGACAATGCCGACAATTCATTTCACCGAATAGAATGAATGGGATAATAAAACTTATAAGCTGGCAACACGTTCTTTTACCATCAAATTGTTTTGTCTATGATTTCGGCTAAAAGTCTAGTTTCCACAGCCAAGAAACTTAAAAAAACTGAATCAACCAACTTCACTCACCGCCCGTTGTTAAATAAAGTTAAGTTATTTACGAATTATTTTGTGATTGATTTTATCAAGGATAATTATTCCAAGATGTCTTTTCTGAATAAAATCAAACAGTACTCTCAAAAATATAAAATATCTTGGGAGGATGAAGAAGTGTTCAAGACATGGTTGACGAAATGCGTATAGTTTTCATAGTTAAGGGGATAGTAAGTCAGCTCAAATTCTAATTTCACCCCCACTTCCCCGCGCGTCGTATGCTTTGTACCGACATGTTTGTAATTACTAATACTGTAAGTAGATAGGTCGTTAGATACTTATTTCATTAGGTTTATCATAATATTTATGCCTGTTTCTTAACGCCAACCCAGTCGCTTCTTATTTTTATCACGGTTATTTCCCATTTTAATTTTAGGTCGTCCTGTTGCGTAATGTGTATTCTGATCGTAAGCGACACAGCTTTCCCGTTTCCGGAAAGAAGAAGCAAGACTGATCGGGCAGCAGGAATCAAGCTTCAAGACGCCGATAGTTTAGGTAATTTCTTTTTACAGTGAAAATAATGGTATTTTAAAAAAAGTAAATAACATAAGCACTGCTTTATAGTTAGTTCAGTTAATATGCAAAGTTTCATGATCTTATTTAAAGTATTTTATGAATAACAGCGGTTTATTGTTCAGTTTGGAGGTAACTTTGGATTTTTTTTCTATCGAGATAATTTTACGGAATCGTGTTTTCGTCTAACATAGTCCTTAATATTAATGCTCAACTTTACCATATATTTATTTCAAAATTAATGCTGCAATACTTTCGGCATAACGGAGGATCTTGCTAAGCCATTTGAGGTTATATTTCCCCTTAATATTACGTAGTTTGTATGTAGTAGTAACTTTTTTATTTTTGATAAATACTGATTCACACGAAACTTGACTAAATAAAAAGTCAGAGGTTTTTTATCCCCCTACATAGGGAAACTAAAAAGGTTTTTTGAAAAAATTTAGGGGGGAAGGTGAAAAAACTGGCAACACTGCTTTATTTATCTATGGTAATAGATAATAGTGTTCTGTGGTGGAAGAACAGTAGTAGCTGTGACATATTATATTTAAAGGAAAAAAATAAAGTTGTTTGCCTTGGGAGCAGTGGTTATTTATAAATATAATAAATTGTTAAGTTTATGATATTTTGTACCAAGAGATGTAAATTGATAACACTTGATTTATGACGAATTATGCAAAGTTGTGTCACACTTTTTAAGTAGTTACTCATCTGGCCTGTGAATAAAGAATTGCATAATAAGTTTGAACCTAAAGTTATCCTTCGCTTGTTTACTTTTCACTTAACACAAGTACAAACCATGGCGTACATAGTGGATCTCCGATCAGATACGGTGACAAAACCTACTAAAGCAATGAAACACGCAATGGTAAATTCTGCCCTTGGTGATGATGTTTATGGGGAGGATCCAACAGTCAACGCCTTGGAGAGCAAGGTGGCTATTCTTCTGGGTAAACAGGCTGCACTTTTTGTCCCATCTGGTACAATGGCTAACTTGATTGCCGGTAAACTTATGCATATATATATTTATAATTTTTAAATAACTTGCCAAGTTATTTTATAATTTACTGAAAAATTTCTAATTTTTTTTTAAATAAAATGTATTTTGGGTCGGCTTTAGTAATCTGCTGCACGATTTAAGTGATCATTTTAGCTTTAGTTGACAGGCAATGATGCTATTGATTACCATCTAGCTGCTTTTTATGCCGGAAATCTTTAGTTTTCGAGATATCATTAGTTAAAGTTTTGAGGTTATAGCCATTTATTTAAAAATCAGGTATTTCTTTAGTAATCTACCGCACGAATATGGGTGTTTTTCAAAAAGTTTGTTCACTAGAAAATTACATGTCCTATGACTTTAGACCTATATTCTGCAAACTAAGGGTTTTAAAACTTTTGTTTTTTGCCTTAATATGACAAAGTAACTTCAAAATTGATTAATAATGTATTCTATACAACATAAATATGTATATATCACGTAAATATAAGCATTATGAGAAAGACGAAAGATGATTCTTTTAGTGTCCCACCTTCGTTTTGCAAAGTTCCGCACAAAAAAATATCCATATTATTTTACATATTCTTTAATAATTGTGTATAATTTGGTAGAGTTATGTGATCCGAATTCGATGATATTCTTTATTTATAGTGTTTTAGAGAAAACAATTATATAAAATACTCGTTTTAACTTGTCCCTTAATATGCCTTTGGTGGAAAATTTCATATACGCTACGTTGATTTCTGGACTTTGAACAAAAGAAATTATAAATTAAGTGTTGGTTATTACTATTGGCTGCATTTAGGATAGGGTGACAAACGAGCACACAGGCCACCTGATGGTAAGTGGTTGCTGCGGCCCATAGACATCTACATCTATCTTCCATTACAAATCAAAATGCAGATGCGTTGTCACCTGTGAGGACTGAGATGGAATGCCTCATTTCCAGTAAAAGGGGTCTCCGGTTCTCTACACTCACCGTACGAAATACAGCAGCATTAAGCTACTATTTCACGCTGGTATTCTGTGAGAGCGTGGTCCTTCTCCGGTCGAGCCGACCCATTCGTGCTACAACTATACTACTAATATAATTGCAGCATGGCTCTACCACGTATAAATTTAAATTTTTTGAGACCAGTCGCATTTGTAAAATGCACGTGAGTGGTTGAGCGACACATTATCTTGTTTTTATTTTCCAAAACAAATGTTACTATTTGAGGTAAGTAATGATTTTTTGTATTAGAAATTTTGATAGCTAATTAAAAAAAGTCTTAAGAATCTGAAAGAAATTGAAAGTAATATTTATTAAAATTATATTGATATATTGAATTTTGAAGTTTATTTCTGTGCCGGCGTCATACGCCACGCAACATATTGTATTAGCAGAATACCAAATGTAACATAGTGGAATTCTTAGGCATTCTTATACCTGTGCCGGATAGATAGGGAGCCGGACGCTCGGTGCCACTACTGCGTCCTTTGCAGGGAGGACACGGCGCAACACACGCTCGCCGAGTGTGCAGCTTGGGAGGAGCAGCGCCGTGTCCTCACAAATAAAGTAGGAGGTGATCTGTCGCTGTTGGCCTTGGTGCGGAAGATGGTCGGTAGCGCAGAATTGTGGGACGCAGTGGTGTCCTATGAGGACGTGATATTGCAGAAGGAAACTGCGGAATGGGAGAGGGAGATCTCGACTCCCTTCCCTGGCTGCAGAAGGCGCACCGGGCGCAGGAGAAGGGCGGACAACGCCTTTTTCCGGCCTCCATGAATGAGTCCAGGGGCGAGGGACTTGGGGAAGCCCCCGCCCCCTATTCGATGGACCCGAGGCGGAGGCGCGCCTCTGAGGTGATACATGGGGTAGTTGAACACCTCACTACTCCGTGCAGGAGATGAGGCCCGTACAGACCGGGCCAGCACTAGTGTGGGGCTGCGGAAGAATCTGGATTCCCGCGGCCCCTCGCGCGCATGTGCTAAGAGACACCGGGGTGGTTGTAGCCGGTAAGAGTCTGGCACACCCCTCCGCTTTTCCCCAGGCAGAGGCAGTCCATGAGGATATCCCCCCGTAAAAAAAGGGTTAGGTTAGAACTGTGACCACAACGCACGAGCCGAGCGAGCGTGCCCTGGCAGCGGCCGGCGAAGTGCCAGAACCGACATTATAAATTGAGGTTAACACAGGACACAGCAGAAATTACCTCAATTTGGTGACTTTGACCTTTGCTGACCTTGACCATTTTGTGACAGATAGCAGAGGCTTTTCCCACCCTAAAAACTCCCACATTCCCATGGGGCCTGAATGTGACTTTTTTGCCGGATGGCCTTTTTTTTATAAGAGAATGAAAAGGGACATTTCTGGCACTTCCCCCTTTTAGGGGGAGGTTCCTACCCCAGCCCCCCCACTCGGCGACCATATATTCGTACGGCAGATTACTAAAGAGATACCTTTACTTTGCTATAATATGGAATAAGTAATTTAAATCAGTCTATACTAAAATTAAACTAAAACTTAATATGAGATAAATTAAAATTCTTGAAGTGCAAATAATTTCAAGTAATAGAAATGATATGCTCACAGTGTCTTGATAATGTATTTAAAAAAGATCATTGAAGGTCATATAGGAAATAATAATAAAGCTACTGATAGCATTAATATTTTACAAGTTTGATATTGATATGACTTGATCTATGTCACAACAGGAACATTCCTATATAAAAGAAATATTTATATTAACATAAATTGAAAGAAATGAGAATGAGGATGAAAGGCTGGAGCCCCCATTGTCACTGCAATTGTGGTCTTCGTTTGCTTTATCTGCAACAACTCATCATGTTTTAGGAGAAAAGCAATTGATTTCATTAATCTTAACGGAATGATCTAGAATCAGTTTAGGCTTTGACATTGGTTTCAGTAGTGTACCTATTCTATATTTCATTATACATAATAGGAATAATAACATTTGTTTAAAAACATTCTCAGTTTATAAATTATTCTCGAGGTTATGTTGATTATACCATGTGCTCATAAGACATCATAGTTTCATCACATCACTTCAAATGCTGCATGCACAGCACGACATTTGTATGGAGTTTATTTAGGATGCTGAGTAACAATTGTGGCTCTCCAGTACTGTTGATAACTTCTGCCATTATTAATTTGCTATCATGATTTAATTTTAGGTATGGTTATTTAGTATGTTTTATTTACTTTGACATTTTCTTTACAGTAATGGTGCATTGTAATAAAAGAGGCTCAGAGGCATTTGTTGGAAATCTATCACATATCTACAAATATGAACAAGGTAAATTTTATGAATTGATTTTGAATTAAAAATAATAAGAAAAATGGTTGAGGGCCAGGTTCTCATATAGTATATTAAACAAATTAAACTGATGCCAAGTTAAAAACCCTTATGTAATAAATTAAGGTACATTGTACACATTTTGTAAGTGGAAGGGCCATGCTGCAGCTATATTATAATAATAGCATGAATGGGTCAGCTCGACAGGGGAAGGACCACACTCTTACAGAATACCAGTGTAAAATAGCATACTGCTGACCATATGAAACATTATATTATGGTCAGTTTAGAGAACCGGAGACCTTTTTTACTAGGAACACAGCATTCCATCTTACTCCTCAGGAGTTACAATACATCTGCATTACAATTTTTAATCCAGAATTGATGTAGATGTTTATGTGCTACAGCGTCCATTTACCATTACATTGAGTGTGTGCTTGTTTGTCACCCTTATTCTATAAAGTTCTCGGCATTTTTCTAGATCTTGCCAAAGCTTTCGACACAGTTTCTATACCCATACTTTTACGTAGGATGGAGAGTATGGGAATTAGAGGTACTCAACTGCGACTGTTGAAGACTACTTGAGTGGACATACTCAGTACGTTCAGGTGGATAAGTTCGTCAGTGCCGAATGCACAACTACCTATGGAATGCCCCAGGGCAGCATACTTTCTCCAACCTTATTTCTCATATATATTAACTAACTGGGTATGCTCACACTCCCTAAAGGGCGGATCATAAGTTTTGCAGATGACACTGTTCTTCTTTTTAGTGCAAGTACATGGCAAGAAGTCTATGCGTACGCCCAGTTGGGCTATAACACTGTCTCAAATTGGCTTCGAAATAACATACTGACACTGAACATAGATAAAACATGTTATGTCCCGTTTAGATTAAAAAACAACACATTAACCACATCATCTCTGTAAGTCACACGTGTTCCAATCCACTCAATAATGCAGATACCTGCACACAACTACGTCAAGCTGACAGAGTAAAATATCTAGGAGTTATAATCGATAGCACTCTACGTTTTCATGAACACATTAATACCCTTAATAGCAGGTTGCGTAAATTAATATATGTATTTAAAACTCTGAGAGACGCGGTGGATGATAAACTAAAGAAATACGTATATTTTGCCTTGGCCCAATCTCTATTAACATATGGTATTACCTCCTGGGGCGGTGCTCCAAAATCAATAATGCTCCAATTGGAGAGAATGCAGAGAGCCATCTTAAAGTTCTCTTTTTCGCTGCCTTATCAATATCCTACAGAGTCCCTATATAAAGAGTTGTAAAATATTAACTGTGCGGCAACTGTTTTATACAAAGAACCTTACTGAAACAACATGCTCTATTAAAATACAACCCCTCACTCTCCCGAGGTAAAAGGAGTTTTAACCCCATGGACCGCACTCATATAACTCTATGCACCAAACTATCTAAACGTTTCTTTTGTCACCTTGGAGGTTTTCTATACAATAAAATCAATAAAATTATCCCTATATTTAAAGTCAATAAGACTACATGCAAAAAGAAAATAACTATCTGGCTTCAAGAATTAAATTATGATGACACTGAAAAGCTACTCACTAATCCTAACTAATTACTATACGTACTGAAGTTAAATACTAACCCAATCCTAAATCTAATTTCTAACCTACTAACAAACAAAAGCATGCACACAAACAAACTCTACACACACACACGCACACACACACGCGCACACGCACACACAGACTAATAATAGCACCAGATTTCAATAAATATTGAATACTAGTTAGGTAAAAGAAGGTACATTATGTAAATTACTAATATGGTACATGTACATGATAAAAGTATTGTAATTACAACCAAAGGGGGGAGACCTGGTGTCCAGAAATACAGGCGTAAAGCGTAGCTTAGGCACCAGTTTCCCACAGTATAACATTAAGGTGTAATATTCTAATATTATGTACAATAATTCTGTAAATTAATATTGTGGTGAGAAATAAATCATTTTTATCATAATAAATAATACAACTAAGAATAAATACATATTAATAAAAAAAGAACCACAGACCTGCCTATAAAATTCTTGACTTCTTAATTCTGCTAATTATATTGAAATTGATTTATTGCTGGACTCTGTTAGACAGACTAAGATCTGGACAGGGCAGATGCGCTGAGCTAATGCACAAATGGGGCTATTGAGGTGACCTTACATGTACGTGTGGTGAAATCCAGAGCACCCTTATGCTATTAAAATGAACCACAGACCTGCCTTTAAAATTCTTGACTTCTTAATTCTGTTAATTATATTAAAATTGATATTCAGGAGGTGCATCATTTCTTGGTGGAGTACTTCTAAGTACACTGGAGAATAAACCTGATGGCACTTTTGACCTGGCAGAGCTAGAACACCGTATACGAGGTGGTGACCTACATGAAGCTGTCAGCTGTATGGTCGCAATAGAAAACACACACAATGTGTGTGGCGGCAAGGTGAGTTTATTCAGTGTTTATTAACAAAATGAAGTGTGAAAATTATCATTTTGAAGATGAAAGGTTAATTTGCTAAGATCCACATGTAAAAATAAAATAGTGTGGATTAAGTATTTGAAAAGCACTTTCTTTCTGCTGACAAGCATGTGAACTATCACACACACTACCATTACTGAATCCAACATGTGTTGTGCCCCAAAAATGTCACATTGTCAGGTTACTGCTAATGACCAACTACTTAATCAGAACCCAGCCTACCTGTCTAGTGCGATAAGTATCTGTATCACTTAATAATTTAAAATAATATTTAAGAAAGAGAATTTTTTATAGACAAAACTTGTACAAGTCTCTTAAAAACTAAGCAATTGATTAATTATGAACCGAATGCTGGCATTTACATTAAAATAATAGTATTCAAAGGGATGTGTAATAAAAGCTCAGAAATGTAATTTTGTCTGACTTTTTTTAGAAAGTGAATATGACAAAATTTGGCTGAATATTATACTGGTGTGCCGATATACTCGGTGATCACTGTAAGGTCTAACATCAATTCAGTATACTGTTAAGCCATTCCTTTTTAGTTTGCTATATTGATTACTGTTTAAAACGGAATACACTCCAGTATACTGTCATCTCCATTTTTCGACACTCACAAATTAAAATTTTCTCATGTAGACAATTTTTTTAACAATAAAAATTGTTAGTTGAATGTTGTTGCTTACAAAACTTAATGTCTGAGTTTACTTGAATAACAATATTAATAGCGTATTTTACACCATGCAAAATAAAATCAAAAAATATATATATTTATGATAGATTTAGTAAAAAATAAACGAGAAATATTGATTTCTGTTTATGAAATTGCATTGTAAATTTTATATTTCAATTTTAAGAATATTTTATACGTAGTAGAGCCATGCTGCAGTTATATTATAGTCAACCAAATCTAAGAAATACCTTTTGACGTTTCACATTAATTATTCCACAATCACTTTGAACAAGCGTACTCATACGATTTAAAATAACCTTTTACGTAAATCCGAAAAATTATGAAGTTATCTATATTTCATTACAACGTGTATTGTTTTTTATCACTAATTTAAATTTGAATTTTTCAAACAAAGCAAAATATTAAAAAATAACCAGTATTAACTTTTTTTACTTGACGTTGTTTCAATGACATGTTGCTATGTATATGTATTACCGTAGTGTTTGGATGATTAAAATTCATTGTTATGGAAATAATCGGTAAAAATATTCTAACAATCGAATCATTAATTTCTTAAATGTATTATTTGTTTAATTTAATTTTTATTTTCAAAATTCCTTAAATTACATGAATCATGAATAAAACAAGTTTTTTTTTTACTTTGTCAAAGTAAATGTTTGTAGGCAAAAACTCATATACAAGGCCGTCCTAAAATAACCACTACATAATTTCAATATCCCGCCATTTCAATACCAGTTACTCGACTCCACAGAATCAGTAATTCATTTTCATTTTTGAGGCGATGTATACGCTTTTATCACTGAAACTGAACTGAATGCCAGAAAATATACAAAAATTGACGTAGGTACACATAGTTAAAAACTTTATAAACTAAGTTTGTATAAAAAGGGTTATTTTAATATTAAGGAATTTATGGATGATAATAAGCCCTGAGAAGGGTGATCGCTACCAAGCTATTTCTATTTTGTTTTGTGTTGTTAATTGTAACATGCATGATTGTAAGCTCTTATTTTTAAAAAAAACTAGTCCCGTTTGGTTTCTTGCTGGTTCTTCCTGAGACAGAGGTGTTTTTGCGGACCAGTGGTAAATGAAAAAAGTAACTTTCAATAAGTATTATTCATAATCTATATTGAATAAAAAAGTTTCTGTTTCGAGAGCTTACTATGCGTAATTTTGTGATTTTGTGTTTGTCTTCTTATTTTGTGACTCGACTTTAACTTTTTGGACTGTTTCTTCTATTTTTTCTCGTACATTCCAATTGGCTTCACTAAAATCGACCAGGGAAACCATTGTCATAATTCTATTCAATTCGTAAGATGATGCTGAAGTAAAAATTTGTATTCGATTTCAGGTACTGCCTCAGGAATGGGTGGATAAATTAGGCGAGCTCTGTGCTCGACGTGGACTCGCGCTACATATGGACGGCGCAAGGTTGCTCAACGCGAGTACTTACGCCGGCGAATCGCCCGCGAGACTGGTGCAACCTTGCGACTCTGTGTCGCTGTGCTTTAGCAAAGGCTTGTCTGCGCCAGTCGGCTCGGTGCTCGTTGGTTCTTATCATTTTATTGAGCAGTTAGTAGCAATATTGCTTACATGTCTTAAAATATATTTTTTATAGGATAGGGGTAGCAAACATCCATACAGTCCTACTGATGGTAAGTGGTTGCTGTGGCCCATAGACATCTACATCTATCGTCGATTACGCATCAAAATGCAAATGCGTTGTCACCCGTGAGAACTAAGATGGAATGCCTATTTTCCAGTAAAAAGTATCTCCGGTTCTCTACACTCTCCATATAAAACACAGCAGCGTAAAGTTGCTATTTTGTACTGGTATTCTGTAAGAGCGTGGTCCTTCCCCGATTGAGCCGACCAATTTGTGCTACAACTATACTACTGATATAGCTGTAGCATGGCTGTACCACATTTAAAGGTATAAACACATATAAAGGTATATTCATCAATGCCTCCTGAACACAAAACCATTGTCATCGAGCAACCATAAATTGTTTTTTTTAAAGGAGACGCAATACGCAAACGCTATGCAAACGAGCAAACAGTTCAACTGATATTAAGTGACTATCGCCGCCCGTCTTATGTCTAAGAAATAATGAAGGATATATATTAAATTAAAAGGCCCAAACATCATAAAGAATTTTAGTCATTAACATATGTACCTACTATGAATAAAAACGATAACAAATGCAACGGTCAAACGCTTCAACTATTAAACACTACCGTGTTTCCTTTTACCTATATCAACATTTTTTAACAAACTTTGACCATAATTTAAAAAATATAAGTAGACAAATTGAGTATGTCATATTAAAGATAAAAAAAAACTTCTCTGATTCATCAGGAAGCATTTTTGTACAAAATGAGGATGACATACTTACAGTCCACCTGATGGTAAATGGGTGGTGTGGTCCCATATATTTCTATCCTCGATTAAGAATCAAAGTGTAGATGTTGTGTTATCACTCATTACTACAGGACTTGGATAAATACCATATTATCAGTAAAGCACACCATGGCACTGCAGCAGAATGGCTACTAGACTGCGATGTACTGTGCGATTACGGCAGGACGTGGTAGTTGTGTTTACGTTTGGGACCGGCAGCTTTGAATTGCTACTATACGTCTGATAAATGAGGTTCCATTCCTCAAATTATTTTTTAAAAAGCATTTCAATAAACCCCGATCTAATGTGTTGTCACACACTAGGACTAAGTTCGAATTCCTCGTTACCAGTAAAACGTAAACATGAGCATTGAACTGCTACAATTCCATTTCTCAAACTTTTTAAAAGCACCTAATAATGCACCTGAATTGAACTGCTATTTCCCTCGTATCCTTTACGATTACGACGGAGCGCGGTAGTCGTGGTTACTTCGGTACTAGCATTCAACTGCTACTGTACGCCTGTAATTTATAAACCGATAAACGGGGTTTTATTTCTCAAGTTCCTTTTTAAAAATACATAACAATGCATCGTCACCCATGAGGACTAAGATAGGACGCCTATCAATGGTCTAGAGTCTAGACTCATGAGGACTAAGATGGAATGCCTCGTTACCAGTAAAAAGCACATAGCGTTGAGCTGCTACTGTACCGGTGTTGAACTGGTGTTGTGCGCTGGCTCCGTATGCTTGCGGCATGTGGTGGCAGCGATGGTGGGTGTGGCAGGTGTGGTAGCGTGCGTGTGGCAGGGCGAGGCGCGTGCGCAAGGCGCTGGGCGGCGGCATGAGGCAGGCGGGCGTGCTAGCTGCTGCGGCCGTCGTAGCGCTCGACGAGGTTGCGCCGCGCCTGCACTACGACCACAAGCGCGCACGGCTACTCGCCAATAGTGAGTACACGCCTTATCTGCTTACTTATGTAGTGATTTTTCAGAATATCCCCATGGGGGGGGGGGTTAAATACTACTAAAAAGGATTTTGCAATAGCACCGTGTAGTGGTGGTGTAAGAATATCCACTACCCCATATTATACCGCGGGTATCGTAAGAGGCGACAGAGAGAAAAAAATCGGGAGATGTACAGCATCTGCCAAATAACGACGAAAAATAAAAAAATGCAGTTATCAACCCGTTTGCCAAGCGTGGCATATATCATCGCCCCTATGAGGCAATCTATAGCGGAGGTCTATGTTCTGTAGTAGACTTTAATAGGCTGTTAGTGATTGAAATTGGATGGTAAAATTATAAAATATACACTTTTGTATCAAACACTTCACACACTATTTAAAAAGGAATATTTGAAATTTCACAAAACTCCACGAACCCATGCTCTTAAAGAATACCAGTGTAGTAGAGAGCCAGATACCGTGCGACCAAAATATGCGATATTTTTTAATCAAAATTGTAGATATAAACAAAATTAAAAAACCAACCCTTGTTCGCACCATGACTCAAAAAATAAAAGAAATGGCCCCGAGTTCCCGGCGCCCTTTAAATAGGGCAGGGGTGCGAAGAATCTCCGGGAGAAAAACCGGCGACGAGGTTCGCCACCCGTCACGTTCTGTCTCCCGGAGGGGCGAAAAGTGGATTGCGGAAACCCGTCTGGCTACGCTGAATGTATGTGGAGGAATGAATGATAAGATGGATGAAGTATGCGAAATGATGAATGACAGAGGAATAGATGTGTTATGTGTGAATGAGACGAAACGAAAGGGAAAGGATGCCACTGCACATGGCACGTATACCGCGTATTGGTCTGGTGTAGGCGAGACCGAACGGGCATGCCAGGGAGTCGGTGTCATCCTTTCAGAAAGAATGGGTCAATGTGTGAAAGAGTATGAATGTGTAAGCCCAAGACTGCTATGGATACGAATGAAAGTGGGCTTAAAGAAACTGTTCCTGCTAGGGGTGTACGCCCCAGACATGTCTAAGCCCACTTACATCCGAGAGCAGTTTTGGGACATGGTAAGGATGGTGTTGACAAAATGTAAGCAAAATGAAAATATTATTATGTTAGGAGACTTTAATGGAAGGGTTGGGGTGAAGAGGTCTGGTTATGAAAGGATATTGGGAACGTTTGGTGATGAAAGTATAAATGAGAATGGTGAAGACCTCCTCACCGTATGTGCGGAAAAGAATCTTTTTGTGACGAATACTTTTTTCGTCATAAGAAGATTCACATGTATACATGGGAAAGAGGTGATAATAGAAGCATGATAGATTTCGTAATTGTGGATGAAAGAATGAGGAGCGCAGTTGTAGATACAAGGGTTTACCGGGGGTCCAACGTAGGGACGGATCATTACTTGGTCTTATGTCGAATTAATGGTCTTTTCAAGCGTTGGCGGCATCGGACATCTGTATCTACCACTGCGTTACAGCGTATAAGAATAGAGAAGTTACAAGATGAAGATGTGATAGAGAAGTATAAATGTAGACTGAGAGAAAATATTAGATGTTTGAATGAGTTGTGTATGAATGATTTAGACTTGAATACTGTGTGGGATAATATTAAGAAAGGTTTGGTGGATACCGCCACCGAAGTATGCGGTGTAAGTAAGAGAACAAATGAAAAGAAAAGTAATACGTTATGGTGGGATAATGAGGTACGGGTGGAAGTTGAATCAAAGAAGAAAGCATGGTTAGATTTACTAGCAACCAAAGCTGAAAATTCTTCTGGTATGAATGATGAGATTGAAAGAAAAAAGGCAGAATTTAGACGTCTAAATAAGAGAGTAAAAGAAGTTGTTGAAAGAAAAAAGAAAGAAAGAACGGATAAGAATGATAGAAGGATATCTGATAATTTCCAGGCTAACATAAAAATGTTCTGGAAACTCGTAAGAACTGCCAGGGGAAATACAAAACAGCCTATAATAAATGCTATAAGAGACGAGAATGGATGTATTCTGAATGATGAAGTTTCGAATTTAAACAGATGGAAGGAATACTTTGAAAGCGTGTTTATGAGTGAAGAGTCGTATGAATTAAATGAACTAGAAATTCCGAAAGAAGTGGAAAGGGGTATGGAGATAAGTGTAGATGAAATAATGAAAGCAATGAAAAGCATGAAAGTAGGTAAGGCAGCTGGATATGATAGAGTATCACTCGAGATGCTAAGGGCTGGAGAGGGAGTGGTGGCAGGCCTGCTGTACACCTTGTTTAATTTATGTTGGGAATTAAAACGGGTACCGGATGACTGGTGTAAAGCAGTTATAGTACCAATATATAAAGGAAAAGGGTCACAGCAGGACTGCAAAAACTACCGCGGTATCAGCTTGCTTAGTATTGTGGGTAAACTGTATGCTAAGGTGTTAATTGAAAGAGTTATGAAAGAAACTGATGGAAAAATTTGGGATGTGCAAGCGGGTTTTAGAAAGGGAATGGGGTGTACAGATCAAGTCTTTTCCATGCGCATGATTGCGGAGAAGTTTTTGGCCAAAAACCAGAAAGTTTTTTGTGCGTTCATGGACTTGGAAAAGGCTTATGACAGAGTGGACAGGAATGTGTTATGGCAAACACTGAACTCATATGGGTTGAGCGCTGGTTTGATACAGGCATTAAGGTCTCTTTATAGGGACTCTAGTGCTTGTGTCAGGATCAATGGGGTCTACTCGGACTGGTTTGGCATCCAAAAAGGTGTCAGACAGGGCTGTGTGGCTTCCCCTTGGCTGTTCAACCTATTTATGGACCGGTGTTTGCAAACTTTGAAAGATGAAGAATGTGGGTTAAGAATGGGCGAGTTAACCGTCAAATGCCTTTTGTATGCCGATGATCAAGTCATACTTGCGTCATCGGCGGCAGAGTTGCAGATGATGGTTACATTAATGAACTGGGAATTAAAAGAAAGGGGAATGAAAGTGAACGCAAGTAAGACGAAAGTGATGGTTTTTGAAAGAGAAGAAAGCAAAACGGTATGTGAAATAAGAATAGAAGGCGAGTTGATTGAGCAAGTGGATGAGTTTGTGTATTTGGGATGTGTATTTAGCAGGGATGGTAGATATGATAGGGATATAGAACGACGAGTAAATGCAGGGAATAGAGTGAATGGGGCACTACACTCTATTATGAAGAACCAGAATTTGTCAAAACAGGCACGTATGGTAATTCATAATGCTGTGTTAGTCCCTACTTTAATGTATGGTAGTGAAAGCTGGGTGTGGCAGAAGAAGCACGAAAGTAAAATAAATGCTGTAGAAATGCGGTCTTTAAGGAATATGCTAGGGTGTAATCTGAATGACAGGGTGAGAAATTGCGTGATAAGAGATAAATGTGGTATGCAAGATGATGTTGTGACCAGGATTAAGAAAGGAATGCTTCGGTGGTTTGGTCACGTAGAAAGAATGAATGAGGAAAGAGTGACAAAGCAAATTTATATGGCAGATGTGAATGGCCGAGTCGGGAAGGGACGCCCTAGGAAAAAGTTTATCGACCAAATTGGCGATATTTTGAAAATGGGCCACGTTAGAAGTACCCTTAACCGACGAGCATGTATGCGTAGATATATGGATGTAAAGGAGGCGAAAGAGGTATATCAGGATCGTGCCAAATGGAAGTCCGTAGTCTCTGCCTACCCCTCTGGGTGACAGGCGTGAGTGTTTATGTATGTAATTATGTATTATGAAAATTATGACAAATATCTTCTAAAGCCCAAAGATAACTTCAAATAAAGCAAGCTACTGATAAATTGTCACATAGAAATCATACGTTTCTGTGGCTGCACAAAACTGTAATTCGGCCCATGATCACATGGCTCTCTGGTATGGTAGACCAAAGGCACCACTATAAATATGCTTCAGCGTTACCAGAGATTGGCATGTATAGCTGCCACGGGCTGCATAAGAGCTACACCAACAGCAGCTTTAGAGGCTATACTGGAGCTAACTTCGCTTCATCTACACATACAACAAGAAGCAACTTTAACTGCCATTAGACTCACGACCCTAACTCTTTTAAGTAAGAGTAGAGTCCCTCATACAGGTATAGTTGATAGAATTTACTCAAAAAATCCTATCTTACAAGCAAAGTATGATAAGATCCCAAAACAATTTGTATTCGATAAGAAGTATAAGATACAATAAAATTTTTTTTTGCATCACGTTTCGCAAGATTGGAACATTACACACATTATGTATAGTGACTTTACCTAAATACTTCCCTGTTGTGTAGTGGCAGCCCAAGAGAATCCACTACCCTATGTCATCCAGTGGGTATCGTTAGAGGTGACATCGTATCTCGCAAATGCTACTGAATAGTGAATACTGAATGAACGAGTGCTTTCTACTCTGCTCTCCTCAGTCTACATTACTCTGTGAAGTACTAGTTCGCCATATGTAACCTATGTTGGTTAGGACCGTTTGTTATATGAAACCGACCTTCCGGAGGGATAAAACCTAAAAGAGCTTAGAGTTTTCACAAATAGTTATAAAACAATGAAGAAAGTAAGAAATACAAAAAAAATTAAGGTGTAGGATCCGGAACTTTCTCTGAAGACCTTAATGTCCACATATGTACACCGCTGGGTACCCATAACACAGTCAGTCTTTCAGGTGGCAGTGGCGAAGCCTCCATAAAAGCCGAAAAGCCCGGCTTGCCTTATTAAAACCGAATCAATCAACAATATCAATCAATAATATCAACTAATAAAATAACTCGTAAACTGTTTCAAACTATTTCAAATTTCCCGCGCACCCCACTGTTCGACACCTGTCGACCGATGACCTCGTATTGCCTTAGCGATACTGCTGCTGTCATAAAAATTGAGTTTTAATAGAGCGATTGGTTGTCTCCTTCGCTCTCGTGGGCTTTTTACGGGGCTTTCGAGAAGATGATCGCTCTCTTTCTAACCTATGGCAAAATATTCTATAACGAAATATAACTACGATTGTATATAATATAGCAATTAGTATAGAGATTTAAATCCAGGCTTTAGGAATTAATTTGTTAAAAGCGGAGGCGTGCGGGTAATACGTTTGCAAGTTCATTTCACATTGCAGTTTATTTACTCTGTGTGTTTAGCTTCAGCGATTTAATATTGCGAGTTCAAAATTTGTGCTTTTTTAAAGATTTTTTTAATGAAAATGGAGGATAATAGAGTTCCTTGTAATGAATTGTTGAAGTGTGTTAGTGTTAATCGGAGAGGATAAGGTAAAATCTAAACTTTGTTGAGTTAATACACAAATTGAAGAGTGTATTTCAGACTTATCAATTATCGCAATTAAAAAACAGTTATTGGTACAATTAAAACATTCACCAAAATTTTACGTGGACGTAATTAAATCTTTCCTTAAGAAAGCGAGACGATTCCACTTATCTTATCGCTTATCCATTAGAATGTAAATAATTTTTTTTTATTTTAATTTTGTACATGGTTTGTACTTTGTTCATGTTTTACTTTTATTCATGTATTGTATTGGATGTAAATATTTTTTTCTTTCGCTTAAACAAACCCAAACGGCTTTCTTCAAAGCCACCGAAGCTATGCAATTGCTGATATTTAATACAATGTATCTAGCAGTAGTATGCTTTGAAATAATACTAATTTTTACGGAATTTATCGCGTATATTTAACTTTTTTTACCCGACGTTTCGAGAGCTTTACAGCACCCATGGTCACGGGAAGGACTGAGATGTTCAACGTCCAGCTGTCATAGTTAACCGCGGTTACCATAGATTAAAATTTAACTTTTGTTCCGATCTACACAGTATGAACTTATGGTATCATGGAGTCTTGCAGTTGTATGCTTGGGTTGGGATTTAATTTTATTTATTATAGGATCCCAAGCAGATGGTAGCACCCAGCCATCTTCTCTATTGAAATTAGGATGTTTTTTGATTTCAATAGCCTCGCGAATCATCCTTGGAAGGAATCGGTGTTCTTTAGCGAGGATTTGTGGTCTATCAAATCTGATGTAGTGACGGGGGCGATCCTGTACATGTTCACAGACTGCAGACTTCCCGGAGCGTCGATTCTTCACATCAGCTATATGTTCTTTGACGCGGGTTTTAATTGATCTTTTAGTTTGTCCTATGTAGGAGAGACCAAATTGGTTTATTTTTATAAAACTACTAATAACAACAATCTATATTTTTATCAATTTATATCTTGGGCTTGCCCTAGTTTGGAGCTCTAGCTTCGCCACTGTCAGGCGGAATGTATGGGTATCATCCAAGCGGCCATATCAATAGATGCTAGGAAGGTAAAAGACTTCTCTATCAGAATATTGACCGACAGTGTGGCGGTACTACAAGTTCCGAGTTGTAATGTGGTGAACTCGGGGCTAATATATGAATACCATCAATGATTAAATGAGATATGTAAGCAAAACAATGTGATTCTGCAATGAATTAAGGGGCACAGTGAATCCAGAGGCAACGATGCAGCAGATGAACTGACAGGAAGGGGATCGGCTCTGGCCACTATAGGGCCGGCACTAATAATACCAATCCCTTTGGTTACGTTTGTTCACTGGTATGTAGAAACTTCAATAATCTACACGCTCAGCTTTGGGTAAATCTATTAGACTGTAGACAAGCTAGGGAGGTCCTGCCTGAAATAGTCAGTCATCTAACCAAAGTTCTAATGAGACTGAACAAGCCACAGTTCAGGATAGTAACAAGTGCTATCACAGGACATGGCTCCGTTAACAAACATTTATTTACCATAGGTGTTACAGATAGCCCCCTGTGCAGGGCATGTATGGGGGAGGAAGAAACGGCGGCTCACGTGTTGCTGACATGTCCGGAAGTGCCTAAACATATCGGCACGCCGGGATCGCACCCCGAAGTTGCTTGCAACATCAAAAGACTGCTGAACTTCTTCGGGGAGATTTGTTGGCTCGAATAATCACATTATTTCTGCCCACACGCAAAATACGCGCTTAGACGTGGAGTTGCGAAAAAGAACCCGTTGTAAACTAAACTAACTATCATACGATTTGTCTGGCATTCCTCATTTACGTCACCCACTGGATTGAATATTATATTTATAAAATACTATAATAACATTTCACTGCTTTTTGGCAGCTATCCAAGGTTTATTCTTGAAGACATTCTCAGTGGACGTGGAGGGTCAACACACCAATATTGTGCTGGTTAGAATATCATCTTCGAGTCGACTCACAGCAGATGTCGTGCTGCAGCGACTTGCGCAAGTCTGCCTGGCTGAGACTCAAGTGAGTACACAGTCGATATGTTTCCTGCGTTGTGTAATAGTTATACCCTTTTTCCTGCTATCTATACTCCGTGATTCTTGATCACTTAAACCACTCTGGTTGAACTACCTAATGTCACTTCACATCATACAGTCTTATCACACCTAAAATTTGAAAAACATTTAATGAAATTAAAAACTGAATGGTTGCTAGTATTGAGCAAAACATATAATTGCTTAGAAATAGTATTTGGCAAAAAATATAATTGATTACAATTAAATTATAATGCATTTACCATTGAGCTTTTTTTTTTTTTTTTTTTTTTTTATAGAAGAGGGGGCAAACGAGCATGTGGCTCACCTGATGTTAAGTGACTACCGCCGCCCATGATCAACTGCAACACCAGGGGAATTGCAGACGCGTTGCCGGCCCTTTAGAAAGGAGTAAGCTCTTTTCTTGAAGGTCCCCAGGTCGTATCGGTCCGGAAAAATCGCTGGTGGTAAATTATTCCACAGAGAGGTTGTACGCGGAAGAAAACTCCTTTTGAAACGTACAGTGGTGGACCGCCAAGCATCCAGATGGTGTGGATGGTATCGGGACGTTTGCCGCGTAGTGCGTTCACGAAATTTGGCGGCTGGGATTAATCCGAACAATTCCTCAGAGCACTCTCCATGGTATATGCGAAAGAAAATGCAAAGGGATGCAACATCTCTTCGCAGTGCCAGAGAATCGAGCCGATCGGAAAGCACTCGGTCGTCGACGATTCGAGCCGCTCTGCGCTGGATGTGGTCAAGTGGAAGGAGCTGGTACTGGGGAGCCCCAGCCCAGAGATGGGAACAGTATTCCATGTGCGGCCGAACCTGCGCCTTGTAAAGTTGCAGGCGGTGTGCCGGCATGAAATACTGTCCCGCTCTGCTGAGCACGCAAAGCTTTTTAGAGGCCAATTTGGCCTTCCCTTCCAAGTGACCACGAAACTGCACGTCACTCGATATGTCGACGCCGAGGATTCCGATACTGGCTGAGGCAACAAGGGGAGTGCCTTGAAACTGAGGGGATACGACAAAGGGGTACTTTTTAGCGGTTAACGCGCAAACTTGTGTCTTCTGGGGGTTAAACTGGACTAGATTTAGTCGCCCCCAATCCGAGACTCTGTCCAGCAGAGACTCGACTTCAGACACAAGTTTGTCCCGGCACTCGGAGACGTTTTCCCGAGAAATATTGGCTCGGCCGGTGTAAAGAGCATCACCAGTGCTGTCATCTGCATAGCAATGAATGTTACGGGTCTGCAACATATCATTGATATGCAGAAGAAACAGCGTTGGCGATAGCACGCAGCCCTGTGGAACACCAGCATTAATAGGCTTGCAATCGGAGCTTGCACCGTCTACAACGACCTTGATGCTCCGATCTGCAAGAAAACTGGTGATCCAATCGCACAATTTCTCGGGAAGCCCATAGGAAGGGAGCTTCGAAAGAAGCGCTTTGTGCCAAACCCGATCGAAGGCCTTCGCAATGTCCAAACTAACGGCCAATGCCTCCCCCTTGGACTCTACTGCCTCCGCCCATCTGTGAGTTAGGTAGACCAGAAGATCACCAGCTGACCTACCACGGCGAAAACCGTATTGGCGGTCACTAATCAGCTGGTGATCCTCAAGGTACCTCATGAGCTGGCAGTTTACAATGGACTTCATTGTTTTGGAGAACAAGGAGGTGATGGCGATAGGCCGGTAGTTGGACGGGTCTGAGCGGTCGCCTTTTTTAGGGATCGGGTGGACGAAAGCCGTCTTCCATGATTTTGGGACTACGCCTAGGGAGTAGGAGTACCGGAAAAAACGCGTTAAAACCGGTGCCAACTCTGGAGCACACGTCCTCAGCACAATTGGGGGGATTCCGTCAGGCCCACTCGACTTGTGGATGTCCAGGGAGAGGAGTGCTTTGCGAACCGAGCGCTGAGTGAACTGCACTTCCGGCATGGAGCACTCACACCGCGGGATGGTCGGCGGCGTACTCCCCCCGTCATCGAGAGTCGAGTTAGACGCAAAGAAAGAGCCTAGAAGATCGGCTTTCTCCTTTGCGGTGTGGGCCAGTGAGTCGTCCTCCCTGTGCAGAGATGGAAGAGATGGCTGACAGAAATTCCCCCTGGACAGCCTTGGCGAGAGACCAGAATGTACGGGTTCCAGAAGGAAGACGAACTAGTTTCTCGCCAATTCTGCCTATGTGCTCTGACTTTGCCTTGGCAATGACTCTTTTGAAGGATCTAGAGGCGGAATTATACTTCTTTTTTTAGAGCGCTGGTGTTTACATCCCTGGACGCTGATGCGTCAGCCCAGGCCTGGTAGCACTCCTGCTTATAGCATGATGCTATTTTACAGGAGCGACCAAACCATGGCTGAGATGATGATCTGAGCTATTATATACTACGTATTAGAGACGACACTGCATTTAGTTTCAATTGCGGCGTTATGGCCGCACTCTGTCACTCGTTACGCGCTAGTGAGTTGACACGTGTTGGTTGATTATATAAAAAAATCTTGATTAAATATGCCATGGTATGTTTTTAGATATTGCACAAATAATTCAAGAAATGTTAGCAAATACCAAGGAATAACTTACTTCATCGGTGAATAAGATACTTAGTTGATGAAAAAAGTATTATAGATTAATAATAAAACAAATTATTCCTAAGATGCCATCTCGTGTCATGGAATATAGATTATGAAATTAATTTGTTCAGATGCGACATTTCCGTGGGTAGTTAAGTGTAAGACGATTATATTATGCAAATTTTTTTTGTAGAAAAAATAATCATAATTAGGCTAATTTTTATATATTTGAATTTGCTCCTTATCTTTTATTTTATTTTTAGGTTTCCACGTCAAAGTCAAATTGGAATAAATTCGTCCAATTTTAACTCTCGCTTGCCTAGCATTTATGAACGACACCTAAATTAATGTTATATTAATTAAGTTTTATTAAACATACATATACTAAATATATGTTTTATTTTAAAACATTGAGATAAATATATTATGAAAATGTAATTGTGATGAATATTATTAAAATGTAATATTATATTAAATTAGCACATATAATATACAAGATAAATGATAAATTTTAAAAATTGTACCCGATAAAATTTACCTAATTAACAATACAGTCTATTATTGCGTACTGAACATTCTACCTCTATGTTTATTCTATGATAAAAAACAAACGCGCATGCACCATAGCACTCTTTACTGCGCATGTGCGAACACAGAGTAGCGCACATATTTTGTTTGAAATAGCTGTTGTAGTACATAAGTGCATATTACTTCAATGGCATTTACTAATCTATTTGCTAAAATATCTACGATAGAATGACAATAACTGTGTTTTTTGTTTTAGGGCGATTGCAAGACTCCAAATGACGAAGGTGTAATAGTAAAAGCGGTGTGCTTTAATTCAAAGACCATAAGGTTCACTTTACACCATGACATAACTGATGAAGACCTTTGGCTTGCTATCATGAAAATTGTTTACGTATTTAAGGAGCTAGAAGCGGCCAATCCGTTAAATTGATGTTGGGGATATATGAAACGAGAGCAGTTTCAACCTTGTGACATCACACATTTCTTTGTGTTTTATTTTTCATTGACAAATTTGTTTCTGTTTCAAAAGAACACACGTAAATTATTTAGTCATTGTATTGGTCATTATAAGGCTCTCGTAAAATCTAGATGTAATATTTAAAATATAGAACAAAATAGAATAAGTAAAAAATATGGAACTGACAAATTAAGATTGGGATTATAATTGTTAAAATAAAGGCTTTTACAAGTTAATTTAATGTTGTGTACCGGGTACAAAATATTTTTAGTAGGTGCTATGTAATTACACATGTAGATTTAAGTCGGTTCAGATAATTTTAATATTGAATTTGTTATTATCATGGTGTTCTAAGAGCTTGTTCACACGAGCTTTTTAATATGTTTAAAATCAAATGTGGCATTAATTAATTCAAATGAATTTAATTGGATTAAAGTAAAGTTAATGTTTTAAAAAGTTGACATAATGTTTGCGTGCATTCTATGCATCTCTGTGACTGTCCTCGTAATGGGTCTTAGGTTTTGTGCCATACAAACTTTAGTAATAAACAAAGGTGCGTTATTTACATGGTTTATATGTTTATATTGTTATAGTTTGATAATAAATTCGATCAATGACATCTATATTGTTATAAGAGATTTATATTTAATACATATCAATGTCGGTGCAATATATATAGAGTTACCTATAGTGGCGGTTAATAAAGTAATTTATTATATAAACATTTAGTTATTTTCAGTAGTAATATACTTATTTTTCTTCGGCAAAACATTTAAATAAATTGTGTATGCAAGTATGAACAAAACTTGAAATCAAGATTGTACAACCAGTGCGTGTTGTCAGTGATGATTTATGGATCTGAGACATGGTCCTTCACTGCTGGCCATACTAGGAAGCTCAAGGTCGCTCAGCGTGCTATGGAGAGGACTATATTCGGGGTTTATTTGCGTCATAAACTTGAAATGAGGATATTCGCAGTAGAACCAGAGTAACGCAACATAGCCCAACGGATTAGTAAGCTGAAGTGGCAAGGGGACGGCTATATTGAATTTAAAAAATCTTTATTGCAACAAAAACAAATATATACACATCGATGTGACCCTAGCTCCTATAAAAGCTTAACCTGAGTAACAGGAGCTAGTTCCTTTCAATATTCAACAAGCTTTTGTTGAATAAATACAAAACATATTATATATATGTGTTTATAAACCTGCGTACAAGCGCGCTGTGTGTGTGTGTGCGCATGTGCGTTTGTGTGGTGATTTTACTGCTTTACAGTGAGTAGATTTTAACATATCGCTCGAAGAACCGACAACCGATGGAGAAAAAAGATTCGTGAGCCTCGTACTGGTAGGTCAAGTGTGGGAAAGCACTAAAAGGCGTAACTACCTGGTAAGACATGCAAGAAGTCGACAGATGCAGTTGGCTCAGGATCGTGCTTTGTGGCATTCCTTGGGGGAACCCCATGTTTTCAGCAGTGGACTTGTGAGGGGCTGTAATGATAATGATCACATTTATCGGAAAGATAAAAAAATGTTTTCGTGGACGACGTATCTCTGTTTTATTTCTTTTTATAAGCTCATAAAAGTCAACTTATGAATATGGGCTTTAAATTTTTTATCTTTTATAAATAAGTTTGTACTGTGTAGGTCAGGGGTGGCGAACCTTTATGTATCAACACGCCATTTTCCTAAAGAAATGTTTAATTGGGCGATAGACGTGCCGTAAATAATTTTGACTTCGTGGTTATTGGGAAAATAATAGTACCTACTAAATACTATCGACACAAAACTCTTTATTTACAACAAAAACATAATAAAGTTTCGAATTGAGTCATTCCAGCAAAAAATCGTTGCATCCTTGCCCGATACACAAAACCTCCAATTTCTCCCCCTTTCGCCCTGAAGTACGCCCGCAATGCGTTGCTGTTCATTTGGGTTGTCCAACGCATGCGGCGCGTTCCACCAGTGGCGGGTGCCGATTGCTGGGCCCGCGGAGACCCTGCCGACATCAAGCCAGCTGGTGGGGATGATGGATGCGAGGGGCTGCTGGGTGGTCGTGCAGCACCTCGTGCTCGGCTGGCGGTTCGCATGCTGTCCCGTCCAGCGCCAGCTCCAGACGCGTCCTCCACGCAGCGGCCCTTTAAGCGTTCTATTCAATTCCATCATCCATTTTTGGGGGCGTCATTTAACGGGAGACGCCGAGACCCGGCGCCGTTGCATGGTGAGGCTATGTGCACAAACGGGCCCTTGCACCTTCAATTTTTGCCGAGGCACGGCACTAACACCTCTTGGCAAGGTGCTGACTGACTACGCGACGTAGCGGTTTTGTCACATAACCGTTACGTCAGCGGGCGATGGGGTCGTCACTTCCCTACGCCTATTGAGTCATTTATTATTATACATTGCGAAATGTATTTTGAGATGTATACTGGTAATGATATATGTATATAATAATAAATGTTTCAGTTATACGCTTAATTCGAATAAAGTAACATTAGTGCGACTTCTGTTGTTGCAGATCAGATGACAAATATTATCTTATATTGGGGTTGTAAAATTATAAATATAACACAAATTAACTTTTAAATATAGTTGTGTTAATTGACTATTATGCTTATGACTATTTTTATACGTGGTAGAGCCATGCTGCAGTTATAATAGTAGTATAGTTGTAGCACGAATGGGTCGGCGCGACCCGAGAAGGACCACGCTCTCAGAATAGTAGCTTAATGCTGCTGTGTTTCGTATGGTGAATGTAGAGAACGGGACCCTTTTTACTGGAAATGAGGCATTCCATCTTAGTGCTCACGGGTGATAACGCATCTGCATTTTGATTTGTAATCGAGGATACATGTAGGTGTCTATGGGCCACAGCAACCACTTACCATCAGGTGGACTGTGTGCTCGTTGGACGCCCTATCCTATAAAAAAAATTGGTTGACCCTGCAGGCCATCCCTGGAACTTCTCGTTAATTTTAAATGCAAAGCGCTCCAAATTTCACCAAATTATGACGTTGAATATGAAATATAGGAGTAATTTAAATAAATCAATTTTTTCAAAATTTTTCGTTAACGATAATCTCAAGAACGAATCAACGGATTTTGATCGGACTGGCGATGATCGACGTGGTATTTCAAAGTTGGAATCGATCGGTAAAGTCGTTTAAAAGTTATTACAAAAAAAGTTTCTACCGGTCCGAACTAGTTAAAATTCATAGGAAATCTAAATTTCATGAAACACTTTGGAAATCCGCTTAGTTCATTTCTCAAGCCGTTTAAAAGTTATGAGGTTAACACACATCCATATAGACACCATCGAAAAATTGTCAGGGTTGCTTCCTGTGACCTCAAAACGTAAAGATTTGATGAGAACTCAATTTTAAAAAACGGGAAAAAAATAACTTCCCTATTTTTGAAAATTTTCAATTTTTTCAACGGGAAGTTAAAAATGCTATGCGTAAACGAACTACGCATTACCTGGGGGAGGCGTAGACTTTGAAGGGCTGTAATGATGATAATGAAACGAACTATGCGTCATTAGCAAATTTTATACGTGGTTTTTTTTTGCGCCCAAAGCAATACTACTACCGCAATACGGCTACCCCATACGCGCGGAAAATGCGTTACGCATAGCACGATAGCCGGTCTATCGTGGTTATGAGGGACTCACTGCCTACCGGGGGAACCTAAGTGTTACCCTCTAAAAACCGTCTTTGGGGACTGGCAACTGGCTGTTTAAGCTTTCTTATGCCGTATCGAGAGCGACCCTCTTTTGGGAAAAGAGGGCGCAGGCGGCTACGAGCCGCTGAGGGAGTGCCTACGAAGGCAAATTAATTATGAATAAATAATTTAATTTAATTAGAGTTGGCCTGAGCCGCCAAGAGGCAGTTCAGGTCGTTTGATAGTTTATTAGGCGGGTCCGAGTGAGTTTCTCGGCCTGCGGACTCGATAGCGAGAGGGGGGGGGGGCTGCATAAGTAGCTGCCTCACGAATAAAATGGTTGGAGTGTGACTCTGAGGCTTTGAAGAAGTTCTCAGAGAGTTTTTTAAGAAATTAGTTTATACGTGGTAGAGCCATGCTGCAGTTATATTAGTAGGTGTAGGTATAGTTGTAGCACGAATGGGTCGGCTCGACCGGGGAAGGACCACGCTCTCCAAGAATACCAGCGTAAAATAGCAGCTTAATGCTGCTGTGTTTCGTGTGGTGAGTGTAGCGGACCGCAGACCCTTTTTTACTGGAAACAAGGCATTCCATCTTAGTCCTCACGGGTGACAACGCATCTACATTTTGATTTGTAATCGAGGATAGATGTAGATGTCTATAAGCCGCAGCAACCACTTACCAGCAGGTGGACTGTGTGCTAGTTTGTCATCCTATCCTATAAAAAAAATAGTAGTCCACGATGCAACTAGGATCACTCGCGTTCGTTCGTAATATAACCCCAGCAATACACGTTGGTTGGCCAAGCCTCAGCTAACTCGAGCGTAAGCAAACTGATACAAGGCGAGTGCTACAGTCTATACGTTGGTCAAGTTCGAAAGAGAACAATGCCAAGGCCAGTGGTCACGAATTTGTGTAGATTTATCCACATGTTGGCCGTAATTAGTTGTCATTAAGAATTGGAACGATATGGACGACGTAGAAGTTATGCAGCTTCTGCTATTCATTTACGGAGTGAATTTAATTATTATATCAGTGTACTCCGCTGTAAAGTTATTCAAAAGAAGAGGCCGAAAAGAAGGTAGTGGATGCTGAGTATTATAATTAAAACAATATCTCACCGGGACGGACGTCAAGCTATAACTGTGGGCGACTAACATGTGGACGCGACTTGCAGAGTGCAGGTGAGCCTTTGATTTGTGCAGAAAAACCGACACTTTTCCGAAGTGGACGAGTCGTTGCGAGCGATTCCGAGTGGCGGCAAGGCACGCCAAACGAACCGTATACACGTTGGCGCTCGCCTGCACTCGG